ACATCCAAAATAGTGAGTGTTCATTCACAAAAGAACTGTATTTTTGGGAGCATTGTGTCTGGCATTGTTGTAACAGATGAACATTTTCCCTTTCACAAATATGATATTTTTTGCAAAATTAAAATATTGTCCATAGTCATGAGTACACTTTTTAAATGTTTGTTTGTTTGTTGGAATTCGTGCACGGCTATTCGAGTGTTATCAGAGCTAGCCGTCCTGAATTTTGAAGTGGCAGAGTTTGTTTGTAATTAAGCACAAAGCTACACAGTGGGTTATCTGTGCTCTGCCCACCACGGGTATCGAAACCCAGATTCTAGCGTTATAAATCCGCAGACATACCGCTGTGCCGCTGGGGGGCGAAGTGCTAGAGTAGAGAGAAGACAAATAGTCAACACCACCCACCGTCAATGTTTGGGCTACTCTTGCCAGATCATATAACAAGATTTGACCGTTACGCTCAAAACACACACACACACACACACGTGTCCCAAAATGGGGAGAGTGTTTTTTTTTTTTGTTTTTTTTTTGTGGTAACGGATCGCGAACCACGAAACCTCAGTTCCATAATCAGCACGTTAACCACAGGGCTGCGCTCGGTCCTTATTTTTAAGGTCGAATGAAGGATAATTTACTCACTGTGTTAATGTTTGTTTTTTGTTTTTAATTATGCACAAAGCTACACACGGGCTATCTGTGCTCTGCCCACCACGGGTATCGAAACCCGGTTTCTAGCGTTGTAAGTCCGCAGACATACCGCTGTGCCACTGGGGGGCCACTGTGTTAATTAAATATATTAATTTTAAATTATTTTATTTTGTTCTTATGTCTCAAACATATTAATATGGGGATATTATGAAAATAAATTACATCTATAATTTTCCTTTTCCATTAAAGTAAACAGTCATTTTATCAGTGTTGATTTTTCGTAGAGGAAATAATTAGTGTTTCATAAATGTTACACATGTATTATGCAAGTACCACAAAGCTCATTTTCTTATAATGTATATTCCATATCGGACAAAAAATGTAAATTTTGCTTGAGTTCAAATTCCGAACATGCTAAATCTGGTCAAGGTTGTATGCCACTTCAACCTAGCTGTTACTTTCTCTAGTTATGGAAACTATGTAGCTACTGTTTCATGAAATAGTTGTATTGTGTCCTACTTTGCCATGTATATAGGGAACTGATTGTAGACATATGGAGCAGAGAAGCTACTGGGTTCTTGCATTCCCACATGTGATTGGTCAGCTACAGAAAGCACTTGGATTGTAAGAGCAGCTTTGGCGCTTTCAGGGGTGAGAGAGAGAGTCTGAGAGTCTAGCTTTTGCTTTTTAAGGGCCAAAACCTACTGTGTAGTGCTGTCTCCTGTCCCTTATTGTATACGCCAACCTTACTTTCCCATGTTTTAAATCTCAATTTTCATCTGAAGTTTAATTTAGTTGCATCATTCAGATAATTAGTTTTATTTTACTTCAGTCTTGCTTTTACAACCTGGAAGACATGCGAAGTAGCTGTACAGTATAAAATAAACATCATTTTTTCGTCAAACCCGTTTCTTATCTTCTACACTTGTTCCAACACTAACATTTCATCCAATCAATTCCTCAGACCTCTAGTTTTGCGGAGCGGCTTATTCATGCGCTATTATTCTTCTGAAACAGAAACACCACACATTATTTGTTTGTTTGTTTTGAATTTAGAGCAAAGCTACACGAGGGCTATCTGCGCTAGCCGTCCCTAATTTAACAGTGTAAGACTAGAGAGAAGGCAGCTAGTCATCACCATCCACCGCCAACTCTTGGGCTACTCTTTTACCAACAAATAGTGGGAGTGACCGTCACATTATAATGCCGTCATGCCTGAAAGGGAGAGCATGTTTAGTGTGATGGGGATTCAAACCCACGACCCTCAGATTGCAAGTCGAGTGCCCTAACCACCTGGCCATGCCAGGCCAGAGATTATATTATATTCCAATTGTATTGGATGATAGCTACTCGACACAGTTTACAATGGCTGGTCCCGGTAAATGTAATACCTAATGCATCAACAGTTTGCACAGCTGAAGATCATAGATGGAAGTTTGAAGAACACAGTGTGAAACATCTTTTAAGATAGTCTAGTGGAACTCAGCATCCGTATGTAGTCCAGTGAAAGTGATGGCCCAATGTGTTAAAAAAATTTAACACTTTGTACTCCCTAATCAATACCTTGATAAAACCTTCAGTTAACAAGTAGATAGGTGGACCTGTCTGTTGTAGCTTTAGCATTAATTCATTTCTATCTGCTTATATCCCAATAATTCTTAAATCGTCATTAGTTAAGACATTCATAAGATATCTTTGTGAAACAACTATGAAAATATCTTACGAAATGTTTACGCTTTCTTTTGAGTATTGTATTGTAAAAGAAATTAAGAGTTTCTCGTGAAACTATGTCCTGTCTGATAATTCCAAAAAATAACAGCAATATAATTTTTTAGTTGTTAAATATATGAAAAAAGCTAGAATGGGAATTGTGCCAGTAAAGAATGCTGATGACAAAGTTGTTGTTGAAGCGTGTGAGATGGTTGAGCTTTTAAATTTTTAGCTCTTCTGTTTTTACGTAATAATGTATTAGCAATGTTCCATGGCCAAACAACAAGAAGAAAAAATAATTTTTCGTGGCAGGAGTTTTGTTTGAAAGAAGAAAGCACAACATGAGAGTTGTGGGTTCTTCCCAACAAGGGTGTTCAGAAACAATTGTTCCCCTTGAACCCCGTACGTGAAACTGTTTAAGTTCGAGGAAGTATTAGATTTTGAGTATACGGATTATTGCTAAAATGATTATTTTGTCGGGAGGTCTGAGAAAGCACGATGATATTAGTGTTGAAAGTTTTTCATTTTCTTCAAGTTGATTTGTTGATATCGATGATGATGTTGTTGAAGAGACCAAGCATGTGACCGTAGCATTCATTTCCAACGTAGTCTGCTTAATTTATTGTTTTATGTAATTGCCTTTCATGGTTGGCGTTAATTGGTGTTATAATTATTTGAGTGTCAAATATAATTGAACTTTTTCAATTTTTTTTTATTGTTAGAGATTTTTCAAAGAGAGAAAAAGAAAAACCAGCGTAGTAGGAGGCCCTTTTCAAATGCCCTAGTGAGTGAATGATTTTTGTTGTGGGAGCAGGGAAACCAGAGTACCTGGGGAAAAGCCACTTTCACTGGACAGACGCCGGCTAATCTATCTGTCCTGTGCCCTGTCTGTAATTAAAAGCACGGCAATTAGGAAAAACAAAGCAGTTAAACGACCAAATAGGTACACCTCTCTCTTTCATAGCTGGTAGGGTATTGGAAAGTGGGCAGGTGGCTCAGGATTGGAGAGTTGCCCTAGATATTATACGCCAATTAGTTTTACTTCTGTAGTGGGAAAATTTCTAGCCTTGTATTAGTTAATATCATAGAGATAAAAATAAACTAGAGTGGACACGCATCCGGTTTTGGCGTCATTTCCAGCCGCCATCTTACGTAGGGAAACGTTGTTTTTCTGTATATTTTGTAAAACCTCCGATGTTACGTGAACTGCTTATTTTTATGTGAGTCGTTTTTTTTTCAACTGTTAAAATAAAACTGTAACTAAGAGCTAATCATGAGAACAATTAAGTGTAATTTATGCGGATGTTATTAGTTGCTCATGGGAAGTAGTGTGTTAACTTAATAGATAGGTCTATGCACATAATAAAATTACTATGTATTGATTTATGTTGCCGGGTTATACTTAAGTTTCAGTGAAAACTCAAAATGCCCACTGAATGTGCCCATGCCACATGTCGCAATGCCTTGGCAAAGGGAAATGGATTTTCCTTTCACCGGTAGCATTATATTATATATATTTGTTTCATAGGAAGATGAACAAAAATGTTAATAAATCTACCTTTTTTTTTAGCTGAATGATAAATTATGTAAATTTAATGATTTATAACTAATTGAATGAAATGTATATTTATATACACGTGAGAGAGTAAGAAACCTATAGTCACCTACTCTGGACATTTTTGATTTTCTGTCGTAATTTCTTTTTTTTACTAAGTTTCTCAACAAACCCTAAAAGAAGGAAACGGTGGAATTTTCTCATGAGTTGCAATCTTTAATTGGTACTTGGTGTGCAGTGCCCACTTTACATCTCCGTGACTTGGTTAGATGATGGTGTTAAACCATCAGTCTTCAATTTGCCACAACATTTACAAAAGGTAATGTAAGTGAGATAAGCATAAAGAAAGTAAAGTTTACAAGTAAAAGCAAGCTGATTTGTGTTGCTTAAGCATGTTAAGGTCTTTGTTCCTTTACAACTTTATGTCTACTCAATTTGTGGCAATGTTTGATCAACGTGATACATATCTTATTTTGAGGATCCTAAGTGGGATAAAATAATTTGATCCATTGGAAAATCTTTTAAATGGTTTAAATATTTTAATATATTTATATATATATATATATTTAAATATAAAAAATATATTTAAAATTGAGATTATTAACTTTACATAGTTGTTGTTACAGACAGCAAAAAATCCAGACAACAGCACAAGAAAATGGGATGCCCCTTCACAATCTGAGGGTGAACATGATGAAGGTCAAGTTACATGCCTGTCAACAGAGCCTCTTGGGACAGGTGTAAAATACATTTTATGCAATTTAGAAGGAATCATATTCCAATCAAACTCCTTTAGTTGCAACACTTTGTGCACAATGTTCAGGTTTATTAATGAAACTTCCTTTTTTTTTTGTAGAATATAATATTTTAGATGTCTGTATACCTGTGTATACTAGTAGCAGTTTGCTATCGAGGAATGAATATGTTAGTATGATAAGATGTATAATTATTTGTCAATATACATGTTTTCAGCCCCACAATTATGCTACTGAAAGTGAAGAAACATTCAAGGCTAAATGGTTATGAACGGAGTGTCAAGTGGAAAATTTAGAATGCCATTTAGAGATTTAAGCTGACAGTTGCTAGTCTGATGGAAGATCTCAAAGAGAATAATCTGTTGACAGAAGAGATGCAGATGAAATTTGACACATATAAAGGTATAGTATTACTATTAACTACGTATTTATGTAACCTAATTGTATAACCCAGATAAATGTCAGGGGATGCTACATGGATTGTGTATCGTTAGAGGCCACATCTATATAAATTACCTTATGATTGAGGATGAATAGTAATAATAATGTGGTGTTTATTGATCTGTTGGTTTCTTTTGCCAGATTTTCCATCCACTTGTTTAAAAAAAAAGTACTACCTCATATACTGAAGAACAGTGACATTTTGCCCTGACGTGTTTGTTTGGGCCGAAGGCATGCGACTATCTAGGAACTAAAGTTACCCTCCCATCAACAAAACTTTAAGGAGGTCAGTAAGTTGCATTTAGAAACATTTAAAAAAATGGTTTATTTTGTCTAATACAGTGAAAAGGCTGAGGAATCTTTCATTGATTTATAGAATCAGTCAAAAATATTTGTTTACTAATATTGTTTCTGATCAAACTAGATTGGCTGTCATTTGTTTACTTATGCACAAATATTCTTTGATTTTAAAATTTTTTTGGTTCTGTACTTTCCTGTTATTGATAATATCGTAAACCCAATACATAATTACATTGGTTAGGTTTTCTTTAAATATGAATGGTACATAACTATTAAATTGAGAAAAAGTCCTATGGAGATTGGCTTATGGTACAGCCTAACTAATAATACACTACTATTGTAGTGATATAGGTATCTAAGAAGGAAATGACGTTATTATCCTGGTATTCTACCATAAAGTTAATATTACAGTGTTGCTTGCTGAGGTAAGTGAGAAAATGTTCTACGTGATTCTCATAGTGACCCCATTTAGCTGTTCATAAGTTTCCATTGAAGATAAAATGTTGTTTGGTGATAAAAGATCCTTCTCAGAGTACAGAATGTAAGATATATATGTACTTTTGATACCATCGTGATAAAACAAAGGAAACCAGTGATCAACAATTGGGAGCAAGCATTTCTACTTTTTCTAAAACTAAATGAACCTTTTTGTGAACTTAACCTTATAGAAAGCAGTGAATCTAGCTCAATAAAGTCAGGAAATTATGAGGAATAATTGGCAAAAATGAAAAGAAAATATATAGAAACATATTGAAACAGTATGGAAATGGACAAATGAGTGTTATGGAACAAATAAAATCCAGTTAGGACTATGAGATGTATGTAGAGGCACAAGAGTTCTATAGTATATAACACAGAACGTTGTTGTTGTTATAGAGAGTTATGTACAAGATGGTTACTGTTCATAAACTTTATTATGTTTTATGCTGAAGACTCAAGTGCACTTATTAAATGTAGTGCACAAGCATAAAGTATGACAAAAATGTTATAAAATAATTTAGTGAAATAGATATAAATGAAAGCCAACATGGATTGACATAAAGGAAATTTTGTCTTACTAACCTGTTTTTTTTTCAATGCAGCTATTTCTTGTATAGATGATGGAAAGGGTGTGAACTTAGTGTACTTAGATTTTCAAGAAGCTTTTGGTGAGGGATCATACAACAGGTTAGCTAAGAAAATTACATTAGTAGGGATTGGGGACAGGCTAGTTAATTGGATTGTAGGGTGGTTGGATGGGAGAAAGAATAAGGTTGTTATTATTAAAGTTTAGTCAGATTGGACCCTTATTACTAGTAGCTGAAGAAAAGGATCCTGTCATGGTAGTGAATAAAGTTACTCAAGCCATTTAATCAGAGCTCTGTTACTAGTACTCAACTCAACAGAACTTTAGGGTGTGTTTATAGATATTTATTAGAAGCAAATAAAGTATTCATACAGATCACTAGTTTGGCCTCAACTATAATCTGTGTACAGTTGTGTATTTATTTAAATGAAAGGATACTGACTTATTGGAAAGGGTTGAAAGGAGTGCTACTTGGATAATTCCAGGGACAGAATGGTTATTGTACAGGGATAAACTAAGATCTGTTAACTTATTTTTTATTGAGAAAAGAAGGATAAAAGGGGATATTATTGATGTTTGCAAGGCTATTCAGGGTGATTGACTTATGAAATGACAATAGTGGAGATCAGTACTTTACAGTAGTTTAAGAAAACAGTCGGCGATTTCCTAAAAATTACACTTTTGAATCAAAGAAGAGAAACTTTAATTCAAAACTAATTGTCAACAGTGTTTTCAGTGTTTCTTCATTATAGGCATTCCTCTTCATCATTATAAGGATGGGGCAAAGAAGGAAACAATCCTTGATTGTTAAAGAATTTTGTAAGCAATCTGTCAGACTCAGATACCCTTCACACACACACACTCATCTCAGACCAGGAATCTTCTACCACCAATGGCAGTCATTGTAAAAAAAAATACCTACTTCTTTTAGCCAACTCTTATCACTTCTGAATCTTAATTTCTATTCCCACCCAAAATCTTTTACCAACAATTGCCAAGAGTGGTTTGAGTATTCAGCATAACCACCCTTCAGAACATGCAAAGCTACTAAAGTCTTTTTTGTGGTTTCAGTAACCTGAAGATCACTGTTCATGTTCTTGGTGACTCGCAAGGGAAGAAGAATACAGCATCATTCTGTAATGGAAAGGTTGACATACAAGGATATGTTAAAATCTCTGAAATTGTTTTTTTCTTCAAAAAAGAAGTTAGAGGGATCTAATTGAGATGTTGAAGGTTGTTAAGGGAATTGATACTGTTGATGCATCATCTTTTTTATGCACTTAATGTTGAGAATGATAGGAGTAGGGGAAACATATAAATTTTGGCAGGATAGGAGTCATCTTCAACTAAAGCAACTCTATTTTTCTAACAAGGTAGTTGGCCTTTGAAATGGGTTGCCTTGAGATGTGGTAGATGCAGTTAATTTAAGAGAAGACTTGATAAATATTTTAATGGTAAAGTCTAACTTTGAGTGTTCTATTTTTTATTTCAAAGTTTAGTGAATGAGATAAGTAAGATGTACCAACAGGGCCCTTGTTGTCCTTAGATTTTATGTAGGTATGTAGTTATGAGAAGCAACCCCCAAAGAATTACTCATGAAGAAGTACAATTCAAACACTCAAGGTCTAAAATTTGTGATAAAAATCATGTCAACTGCAGATGTTCTTTTTTTCCTCATTCCTATAAACTTGAATTTTCAATGGACAAATTAACAGGAATGTGGAAAGAAAATAATATGCAGCTAACATCATTTTATCACAGTCTTAGACCTATTATTTTCTAATACTTCACCAGATATTGGCATTTAAACAGTAACTTTTAATATTCAAGGTTACTCCATCATTAAGTCCACTTCCACTCCTATTCTGCAAAGCATCTGTCAGAAATTTGATTGCACCCAAGCTATTTTCACTGCCAGACCTAACTGTCACATGTGGTGAACAGCATCCAATTAAGTGACTACTCGATAGAAAAGAAGAGACTTACTGTGCCAACTGTAATGGGCCCCATGCAGCCTCATATTGGGGGATTCCCAAAACTCTTCAGGTTGCCAAAATAAACGTCCAGACATCATCTATAGTCTCTCAACCATGAGCATGCAGATTACTTCAGTATACATCTAATACACTCAGAGCAACAATGAAACCAAGTCAACAAAATCATCAAGCATCAACTTCAGCCAAAAGAAGAACCAGAACAACCCGGGACTTATTCCAATGCAACAAGACTCGGACAAATAGTTTGACCAATACCCCTGTCCTTCTTCACCTCAAAGACTTTTTCAGCAATGCTGTCCTTTCAGCCCATGAAGACAATATCCTTTCCAGACTACAGCTCAAGCATTTTTCTACAGGTAAGTGTTGAAATTTATGCATGTTTACTACCAAAGTAATCTTATTTATAATAAATTTTAGTATTTATAACTGAAGAACCTAGAGGTAGATATCATAACCACAAATGAAACATTTTTAAACACTTATAACCACTTTTTTTCTTCCTAACTATAATATTCTCACCCATGCAGTTAAATTTGCTGTTGTCACTTTCAATAAGAAATCTACATAGAATAATCATTTTAATAATATTAGCAACAAAGTATGTTAGAGAATCGGCTAACTGTTTTGAAATCAGAGGTAGTGTTCGTAACTGTAACTTGCTCCCTATTATACCCATCTATAAAGTTTACATAAGACCACTTTTAGAATATAGTAATATGAAAACTTGTACTATGTCAGATCACATATGCAATAAACCCAAACAAAAAAAAGCAATCTATTAACATTTCATATTCCTCTCACTCTACACCCTGCTAGTTACTTTGATAAAATTAGTGATTCATAAAGTTAAACTTTTTTAACTTGTGGTACATTTATCTCTTCTAGTTACAAACTTTGTACTCATTTGCTGCTTGTCGTAGGTTGCTAAGCCTTACAAAATTTTGCACATGGAAGGTGCAAAATGGAATAATTTTTTCAGGTTTTATATATACATTTGAAATAACCAAATAATTGTAAATTACTGTATTAATACCACAGAATTCCATTATAATTTATCAAGCTTAGTAACTAAGCTGTATTTGGGTGTACAAAAATATTACATTTCAAGCAAACTAAAGACTCAACTTACCAGCTCGAAGTCTTGTATCAAAAGAATGAGTTGATGTCATAATACTTCAAAATGGCTGAGAAAGCCACTAGGGGGACATTCTGAGCTCTTGATTAGTTATTCACGTGTCATGGACGAAAGTAAGTGTGTATAAGGGAGTGTGTGGTTCAGTATATGAGCTATATCTCAGCAAATAGAAAAGATAGCAAGTTCTTATTT